AAATAAAACTTTAAAATCACAGATGACATAATTATCTTTCACAAATACTATGAACCATAAAAGAAAATATGATAAATTAGATATCATGGAAATTAAAAACTTTTGCTCTTCTGAAGACACTTAGGAAAATGAGAAAGCAAGCCATAGATTGGTAGAAAATACTTGTGTTTATAAATTTTTTTTTTTCTGGCTACTGGCCTATACGGGGATCCAAACCCTTGACCTTGATGTTATCAGCACCACTTTCTAACGGTGGAAGATATTTGTAACACTTCTGTTTGAAAAAGTACTACTATCTAAGCTATGTAAAGAACTTACAACTCAGTAATAAGGCATATGCCATATTTTTAAAAAGTTGGCGAAAGATGTGAACAGACTCTTCACCAAAGAAGATATTCAGATGCCAAATAACCACATGAAAAGATGTGGTTAGTCATATTAGTCATTAGACTTTAGGAAAATAAAAATTAAAATGAAATAATACTACACACTTATTTGAATGGGGAAATAATGAAATAATAGTACACACTTATTTGAATGGGGGGAAAAAAAAGGACAGTACTAAGTGCTGACCAAAATGTGGAAAAAATGGAATTCTCATACACTGCTGGTGAGAATTCAGAATGATAAACACTAGGTAAATAGTTTAGCAGTTTGTTACAAAATTGTGCATATACCTACTATACCAACTTAGTCATTCTACTCCTAGGTATTTACCCAAGAGTAATGAAAGCATATCTCCACACAGAGATTTTTTTTTTTTTGGCACCTGGCTGGAATGAGGAACCAAACCCTTGGTGTTAGGAGGCTGTGGTCTAACCAACCGAATTAACCAGCCAGCCCTGATTTTTTAATACTAGATTTATTGAAGTATAATTTACATAAAGTAAAATCCATCAGTTGTAAATGAGTAATTTGATGAGTATTAATAGATAAATGTTATAGCAGCTTATATTATCCTAAACTGAAAACAACCCAAATGTCCGTAAACACTATGTGATGTATTCATATACAATGGAACAGTACTCAACAATAAACGAGAATGAACTTCTGACATATAAAGCAACGTGGATGAATCTCAGAAACATTATGCTAAGAGAAAAGCCATACTAAAAAGATAGCATACTGTATGATTCCTTTTATATAAAATTCTAGAAAAGGCAAAAATATAATGACAGAAAGCAGATTGGTGCTGCCAGGTTTGGGGTCAAAAGGGGGATTGACTTGGACATTTTTGAGAAAATGTGTGCCAAATATCCAAGTCTGAATAGCCATTTTGAACCTGAAAGAAAACTGAGGCATGGCTTAAACAGTAAAGGGTTGATCTGAGCCAAATTTTAGTGACTGCAGCCTGGAAGGCACTTCCAAGTTACCTTGAGAAGTGCTCTGGAGAATTGAAGAATTTGGGCTATTAAAGGAAAAGGACCAATCAGAAGTGGAAGTGGTTATAAAATTGTCTAACATTATAATCGGTGCTAGCATCTTTAGGTAGTCTTGGCAGTAAAGGACTGGTTGTAACAGTCTGCAGTCTGTGAGAAAATCCTCAGCTAAAAATTCTTCATTTTAACAGGAGATATGTGAAATAACAGTCGACAGATGGTTGGTAGACAGACAGTCAGCAGACAGATGATTGGCAGATGTTGGTCATTCATGGTGTTCTTGGATGAGTTTGAGTTCAGGGTATCCTCGGATGAGATGTGCCTTAAGCTTAAGCTAAATTGACCTCCCAACTCCATTTTAGGTGCCTTGACCAAACTGACAGCATTTCCCTTCATCACCATACTTTGTCTGGCTGTTCTTTCAATTAAAACTTGTGTTCCATTAAAAAAGTGGCTAGTTTAGCTCACAACTCAATCAAATGGATGCTTCCTCAAAGTATTCGTTATATTTTGGTGTGCATCAGAAGGGCTTTATTTGTAGTTCTCATTTCATTGCAGAGGTTAGTAGAAAGACAAGGGTTTTGTCTTGTATTCAAGGGTCAAAATTTAATAAAATTAATACCTTTTTTACTGCTTTATCAAGGATATTCTTAAACTGGCTTTTTAATTAATTTTTTTTTTTTTATTAAATGGTGAGTGCATGGCTATGTTACTACTGGTATAGTTTGACTGCTGTACAAACTATACAGTGACCATTGGTATAGTTTGTTGTTACTTCCTTGATGTGTACTAAGGTGACAGCAATTTCAGCCACTATTTGCTATTGCACTATCAGTGCATATGATAACATAACAAAACAGGAAAATAAGTTTTTAGTATTACTGTGACAATAGGTTTGACCTCATCTATCTACCCTCATCCCAGGGATCCTTAGCAGTCAGCCACTTTGAAATCTGCTGTTTGAGAGTGTAGAAGGTGGGCAAAGGAGTAGGAGCCAGCTAAGGAAACTGTAAAGGAGTGGCCGTGAGAAAGGAGGAAAACTTGGAAATGTCGTATCAGAAAATATAGGAAAAGAGAATGTTTCAAAAAGAAGAAATCATGAATTGTGCCAAATGTTGCTGTGAAAGATTATATAAGAGGAGATAGAAGGGACCCATGGATTTTATACCTCAGGGGGCAAGAATGGTTTCATTTGAATAGGAGGCATCAGAAGTGCTTAGAGTTGATTGAGACCAAATTGGAGGTGGCAAAGTAAGACCTTTAAGGTAGACAACTCTTAGGGGACGTTTTATTGTGTCAGGGAGAGCAAAAAAATGAGGTCATAGCTGGAGATGGGTGTTGGGGTCAAGGGAGGGTTTTGTTTAAGTTGTGAGATACTTGGTGACTTTCACACCTTTTTTGCTGCAACTCACAGTGAGAAATACATTTTATATCACTACTAACTATATATACACATTACTGAAACAAAAATTTCACAAAGTTATATTTACCTATTGTATTTTTAATGCATTCTGGTACTTTCTATACTACTCTTTTATTATTTCATTAAGAAAAAAATGCCAGTCTGGACATACCAAGTTACTTTCATAATCCACGTTCTCAGTTAAAAAAACATAGTCTGTGGAATCCAGAGCATATATTATGGTTGGCCTTCAAAAATTACAGCAAGAACAGTCATTTTGTGGTATTGATAGATCATATGTGCACAGACAAGGTATAATGATGGTTGGAAGATGACAGAGTTCCTATTGAAATGATTTAATATTTTTCAAAGTAGTTTGAGACCAACTAAGAAGGGGCCATGACAGGAGTTTTGGAGGTGTGAATAAAGAGGAGAAAGTGTGAGATAGTCAATTTGGAGAATAGTAAAGCAAACTTTACCAGAGAAAGGCAGAAGAGTTGTACAGCAGTGTTGAATGCCCATTTGAGAGTTATGATTATGAATTTAAAGTGAGACTAGTCAGTTTAGGAATAAGTGTATAAGCCCTTAGTGAATGTTAACCATTCCTGTTATTCTGTCCTTCATCTGTGTTTAGCTGCTTGGGTATCATGGGTGATTGGTGAAAAAAAATACATGGGATTTTATTTTGGAAGACATTGACTCCAAACTCATTTCTTAATTTAAAGTACAAATGCCCCTAAATTTATGATGGGGTTACATTCTGATAAACCCATTGTTAAGTTAAAAATATTCTAAGTCTAAAATGCTCTTAATACTCCCAATAAATCCAAAAATCGTTAAGTTGAACCATTGTAATATGGGGACCATCAGTAGATGAGTAAGTATCAGTGGCATCACTGTAGAGGGGTGTGAGTCTGTCCCACTCTTGGGAGAGCCTGGTTTTGGTCTCGTGCACCACTCGGTTCACAGGCAGACCTAGAGACATTCTGTAAGAGCTGGTCTAAAGAAGAGTAGTTGAGGCGATCAGGTTGTAAAGGGCTTAGCTTGGCACTCAAATAGATTGTATCTCAACTTGAAGAGTCAGAAAGGATGGTATGATTAAAGTATTAAAAATCTTGAAGAATGTGAATTGGTTGAACATGTACTTAGTTGTCAGCTCCCACAACTAGCTAAGCCACTTGAGACTTTTAAGAGGTAAATTCAGGACATATAACCACCAGAACTAAGATTGTAAACTCTAGAGTACTCCTTGCCAATTGGCAGGTCTCCTAAAATGAAGTGAAGAGATGAATTGGAACAGTTTTATTAGTTCTAATCTGCTGGCATCGTTCATTTTCTGGGCAGAGGCTGTTGGACTTGTTGGGCCAAAGCCAGGGCAATGGCTGCTGTTTACTTTTGGTTTGCAGCCTACTTGTTGGGTAATTAGATTTAAGAAAGAAAAAGAAAATCTCTTTTAAATCTGGGATTTTATTACTTCAGAAGATAAAGTCATTAAGCTTCCTTAACTGTTAATGCGATTACCAAGTTTCTTGAGTAATTCTTAAATCCACAATCTTTCTGTGTGCAGTGGAGAGGACTTACTAGGAAAATGGCCTAGACCTGTTCTAACTAAATTATGTAGATCCCATAGTACTTGTGTTACCCTTGCCTAACAGAAACTACATAATGACAATGGTGATGTTAGCCAATTGATTTGGGGGAGCTTAGTAAGTACAAAATAATTGTGCTCAAATGCATAGAATTAAATAGGAGTTGAAAGAAATCACCTAGCTATGTTCTCTAAATAGGATCTCACCCGTTTCTAAAAAGCTAACTTTTTTCAGTAAACTTTATGGCTAGCTCATATTTCTTTTGCTGAAATTTTAACTACTGTTTGAGAAAATTGATGTATGTTAATAATGGTAACCTTGAGGTCAGGGTTAATTATATGCTCTATTGAAAGCTTCTCTAGAGTATGAGATTTGGGAAGAAATCTAGAGTAGCAAACTAGAAATATCATGTTTCCGTGTTTGTATTTGAGGAAGAGAGAAGATAAAACAGAAAAGCTTTCATGACCCCTTAGCCCTTTGTGTTCTTGTGCTTGGCAGCTTTTAAGTTCATCGCAAGTGATTCCTAAGGATGATGTTCTTGAGCAAGTTTGTACTCTTGATACTCAGTTTGTCACTTGTAGATTGTTGACTTTCATAGGTCTAGCTTTACTGAGATCTTTTGAATTTCAGGTAAAAAACATCAGAATGAATTTCAGCTTCTGGTGGATCAGGCCAAAAAAGGATACAAAAAAACTGTTGGGATGTCAAAAAAAACAGTAACAAGAAAAGAAAATGAATCTACAGAAGAGCTATTATCTGTATGCATGGGTAAGAGATTTTAATTAAAAACAGAAATATGTTGAATTTTATTATTTATTTATTTATTTATTTATTTATTTATTTATTTATTTATTTATTTATTTTCCCCTTTTTGTCTTTTTTCTTGTCCGGCAACGGATCGCAACCCCCAGTGTCGCGCCCGTACCGGACCAGGACCGGCAACGGGATTGCAACCCTCGGTGTTGCTCCCGCACCTTGCTCAGCCAGTGAGCGGGAACCAGTCTGTATGTGGGATCTGAACCCTCGGCGGGAGCGCCACCACGCTCCCAAGCGGCACACTGTAGCAGTGCGCCACCGGGCCGGCCCCTATTATTTATTTTTAATATAAAAAAATAAAACCAAAGGAATTTACTTTGGCGTTAATAGGTATTTGAAATAGGAAACAGTATTTTTAGGTAAACTTCATGTAGCAGTTGTTGAATGTAAGTAAATTAGGTTGATTGCTTTGGGAAAATGATTGGAAGAATATTCTGAAGAAACAATCTTGTAAGTCTGTCTTCCTTTCAGTTAATGATAAATCAAAAGTTTCTTAGTTGGTTAAGCTTGAGGATGATTTCTAGGTTTAGGATTTATTGCTGGAGATCCTAAGATACCCTACAAAGAGAATAGATTATTTTTGTTATAGTACACTGGTACTATACATATAGTACATTTCTTAATTTTGATTCATTTTTATTTAATTTATTTAAATTAATTAATTTTAGGGGCAGCTGGCCAGTGTGGGGATCCAGACCTTTGCCCTTAATGTTATGATACTGCACTCTAACCAACTGAACTAAATGGCCATTTTAAAATTCAAGATTAATATTATATTTCTACTTCCAGAGCTTTGGACCAGTGAACAAAACAGAATCATAATGGGGGGAAGTACACAAGAAAATTCCTTATTTTTTCTTTATTGTGGTAAAATATACATAACACAGTATTTATCTTTTTAATCCTTTATAAATGTACAATTCATTGGCAATAAATACACGCACAGTATTGTGTAACCATCACCACTATCTGTACCCAAAACTTTTTTATTCCCTCTGCCTTCTAGTCTACTTTCTGTGTATATGAATTTGCCTGTCCTAGGTACCTCATGTAAGTGGAATTGTACAATATTTGTCCTTTTTTTTCAACTTTATGTCTATAAGCATAATATTTTCAGGGCCCATCAATGTTGTAACATATATTAAAATTTCATTTCTTTTTATGGTTGAATGATATTCCATAGTATGTTTATACCCTATTTTGTTTATCCATTTATCTGTTATGAATTATGTCTACCTTTTGGTTATTGTGAATAATGCTGCTATGAACATTGGTGTTCAAATATGCTTTCAATTCTTTTGGGTATATGCCTAGGAGTGGAATTTCTGGTTCATATGGTAGTTCTGTCTTTAACCTTTGGAGAAACCACCAAACTGTTTTCTATAGCAGCTGCATCATTTTATGTTCCCACCAGCAATGCATGAAGGTTCCAGTTTCTCCACATCCTTGTCAACTCTTCTTATTTTTTTATCTTCTTCTTCTATTGTAGCCATCTTAGTAGGTGTGAAGTGGTGTGTTATTGTGGTTTTGATTTGCATTTCCCTAGTGACTCATGATGTTAAGCTATGAAGGTTCCAGTTTCTCCACATCCTTGTCAACTCTTCTTATTTTTTTATCTTCTTCTTCTATTGTAGCCATCTTAGTAGATGTGAAGTGGTGTGTTATTGTGGTTTTGATTTGCATTTCCCTAGTGACTCATGATGTTAAGCATCTTTTCATGTACGTAGTGACCATTTATTTTTCTTCTTCGGAGAAATGTGTATTCAAGTCCTTTGCCTATTTTCTAGTTCAGTTGTTTGGTTGTTGACTTTTAGCAGTTCTTTGTATGTTCTAGGTATTAATTTCTTATATATATGATTTGTACGTATTTGCAAACATTCTCTGTGTTGTCTTCATGCTTTCTTAATATTATCTTTTCATGTACAATAGTGCTTAATTTTGGTAAAGTCTACTGTATTTTTTCTTTTCTTCCTATACTTTTGGTGTTACATCCCTGAAGTTGTTGTCAAATCCAGTGTCATAAAGATTTTTCTCCAATGTTTTCCTCTAAGAATTTTATAGTTTTATGTTTAGCTCTTTGATCCATTTTGAGTTAATTTTTATATATGATGTTAGGTAAGAGTCCGACTTCATTCTTTTGCATATGGATATCCAGTTTTTCTCAGCACCACCATTTACTGAAGACCATTCTTTCCCCATTTGAATGCTTTTGGTAGCCCTGTTGAAAATCACTTACCATGTAGGTGAAGGTTTATTTTTATTCTCTCTATTCTATTCTGTTGGTCTATATATTGGTCCACATACCAGTACCATACTGTTTTAATTACTGTAGCTTTGTAGTAAATTTTGAAGTTGGGAAGTGTGAGTCCTCCAATTTTATTCTTCCTTTTTGAGATTGTTTTGGCTATTCAGAGTCCCTTGAGATTCTGCATGAATTTTAGAATGATTTTTTCTATTTGTGCAAAAAATGTTGGGATTTTGATAGGGATTACTTTGAATCTGTAGGGTGGTTTGGATAGTATTGACATCTTAACAATATTAAATCTTCCAATCCGTGAACGTAGGATGTCTTTCCATTAATTTATGTATTCTTTAATTTCGTTTTGCAATTTTATAGTTTTCAGTGTACAAATCTTTTTCCTTCTTGGTTAGGTTTTATTTCTATGTATTTTGTTGTTTTAGGTGCTATTGTATTCTTTATTTTTGTCTTCAGTTCCACTGGTGCCATTTAGTACATTGCTGCCTCAGTATATACCTCATGAGCTTTGAACATCTCGAATTTGTTCACATAGTTGTTAAAGGATATTCCTAGAAATTAGCTTCACTCTTGAGAAAATCTGGCTTTATATCGTCCATCAGGAGAACATTTTTGTTTATTAGTTGAATCTATCTTGAATATGATTGATTGTGCTTAGGGGTCTTGTATTATATGTATATTTGCACATAAATATTGCTGTCTTTGGGGTTCAAAGATGATTGTTGCTTTTAGGTTGCTGTGTATGAATGAACATGTCTGGAAGGAGTGGGGAGTGTGAGAGAAGAAGACAGGCACAGACTGATTGAAAAGATGGATTTGTATAGAATCATACAACTGGTGTAATTGTTATTCTTTAAAATAAACATTGAAGTGCCCATGTATGTGAACAGATTCATGTTTTCTCAAGTGACAACTTAACCTTTCTCAAGTGACAACTTAACCTCTCAACTTACATGTATTGGGGAGATCTGTTGTCTGAACCTCACATTTGAGGCTCTATTCGAAGTCCTGCATTCCAAGATCTAAGGGCAGCTAGGAAGGATAATTGATTTTCAGTGCCACAAATTATTGAATAATGTTTGTTACCAAGATGGAATTTATTTTCTAGAAGCTTATGTAAGAGTGGCAGAAGTAAGAGAAGAATACAGATAATCTGCAAAAGTAAAAGATTCTTTTGAGTTGAATTCCTGTTCCCTGGTTTGCCAGCTTGATTGCATTCTCCTGGCCAGTTGAATGATATAGTTGTCTGGGTGCAGAGTTTACTGGGTGATTGGTTCCTCTTAACATGATCCTGCTGTCTGTTTATAAGAGAAGATCCTAGAGATTCTGGATGGTCACTTTGGTTAACTTCTTTTGTCCTTTTCCCAGATTAAACATTAGAAGGTGCAGTTTTGTTTTGGTCCTGAGGCTTATTGAGAACCAGACAGCATTAGGAGCTTATTTTTAGAAACCATACTCTTTTGATGTATGCTGTTCTCCCAGTATAACAAAAACCTAAAACTATTTCTAGGAAAATCTTGACTATATGAACCTGGAAAGGTTTTTCGAAGAATTTGTTTTATTCTTTTTCCATAACTTTCCTCTGATTAATGAAACCTTGACAGTTCTTCTTAGTGTGCCTTCTTAAAGGTCACTTGCCTCTATAAACATACTCTGTGAGTCGTGTGTGAGCTCTGCTTCTCTGTGAGGAACACATAAAAGGAGTTCTGTACTATTAGCACTTGTGGCTTGCATGTGAAATACTTAGTTCCTGGATCTTAATGATATCATAGATAAAAATCCCCACAGAATCCTGAAACACATCATGAGAGGGAGAGTCCTGTGCATTGAAGAATTTTTCACAGATACTATTTTTACACGCTTATTTGCAGACATTTGGTCACACCTGTATGTCACATTCTTGTAAACACTGTGATTGCATCTCTCCAGCTTCCCTGGGCCTTCATCTTTGTCCACAATAAAAGTTCTCAAAAACTGAGAATATGACAAAGTATGCATGAAAATGTGGCGTGTGTTAGATCACATGGAAATATTTGTTATATCTGATCAGTTTTCCTCTTCTGGTAAACAATTAGATTCTTTTTAACAGATTTTGAAAAATGTCTAGATAGATTCACTACACGTAACAGTGGCAAATATTGTGGTTCTCTTATTATTTGAAACTTTAGTCTTTTTTTGTTATATTTATGTTTGTTTGTCAGTGTGCTCTGATCTAGGAAATATGCAAGAATTCCCTAGTAATCTGTAAACAGAAGCCTCATTAGAATTACAGGGTTTTAGAGTCAGCCTGTGGAACACCAAGGCCACGAGTTCGGATCCCTATGTAAGGATGGCCAGTTGGCTCACTTGGGAGAGTGTGGTGCTGACAACATCAAGTCAAGGGTTAAGATCCCCTTACTGATCATCTTTTTAAAAAAATTAAAAAAAAGAAGAATGACAGAGTTTATCCTACTCCTGGTATTAAAGGAAATATTGTTTTTAAATTAATTGATCTTGGAAAAGCATGGGATGGACAATGTAATTAGATAGCACCATTGTGGTGTTGATTTTTGTTCTCTGGCTATCACTAGAGTTTTTATTTATTTATTTATTATTTATTTATTTATTGAAATATAGTTGGTTGTACATATCCGTGGGGTACAGCATTGAATAGCAATACCTATCTACAGTATGAGATGGCTGAAATCAGGATAATAAGTATATTCAAGATTATGCAATATAATTATTTTTGTGGCCCTTTACCAATTTCTCACTAACCCCTCCTTTTCTTCCCCTTTTCCACCTCTGGTGGCCTCAGTTCTGTTCTCTCCTTTTGAAAGTTCAACAAATTCTTGTGATTGTTATATCTTTCTTTCTTTTTTTAAAATTGTTTAGTTTTTTTAGCTTCTACTTGTGAGTGAGGACATGTGTCATTTCTTTTTCTTTTTTTCTTTTCCTTTTTGTCTTTTTTTTTTATGACCGGCAACGGGATCGCAACCCTCGGTGTCGCGCCCGCACCGCACTGAACCAGTGAGCGGACCGGTTTCTATATGGGATCCGAACCCTTGGTGGGAGCGCCGCCGCGCTCCCAAGCACCGCACTCTACCGAGTGCGCCACTGGGCCGGCCCCGTGTTATTTCTTTTTCTGTGCCTGCCTTATTTCATCATCCATGTTGCTGTGAATGGCAGAATTTCATTCTTTTTTATGGCAGAATAGTATTCCATTGTGTATATATACCACATTTTCTTTATCCAGTTGTTTATTGATGTACATTTAGGTTGGTTCCAACTCTTGGCAATTATAAATAGAGCTGTGATAAACATGGGAGTGCAGATATCCCTTAGACATGATGATTTCCATTCCTTTGGATATATATCCAGCAGTGTAGGAAGGTTTCCTTTTCTCTGCATCCTCACCAGCATTTGTTATTCTCTGTCTTTTTGATAATAGTCAATTTAACTGTGATGAAATGATATCTTAGTGTAGTTTTGACTTGGATTTTCCTTGTCTTAGTGATGTTGAGTATTATTTCATGTGTCTGTTGGCCATTTGTAGATCTTCCTTTGAGAAATGCCATTTCTTAATAGAGTTGCTTTTTTTTTTTTACTGTTAAGTTGTTTGAGTTCCTTGTATATTCTGGATATTAATCCCTTGTCATATGCATAGTTTGCACATATTGTCTCCCATTCTATAGGTTGTCTTTTCACTTTGTTAATTGATTGTTTTTCTGTGCAGAAGCTTTTTAGTTTGATAATACCATTTGTTTATTTCTTCTTTGTTGCCTGTTCTTTTAGAGTCTTATTTAAAAAGTCTTTGCCTGATCCTACTTCCTGAAGTGTTTCTCATGTTTTCTTTTAGGAGTTTCATAGTTTTAGATCTTATATTTAAGCCTTTAATCCATTTTGAGTTGATTTTGTTATATAGTGAGAGGTATGGATCTAGTTTCATTCTTCTACATATGGATGCCCAGCTTTCCCAGCACCACTTATTGAAGAGGCAGTCTTTTCTGCAATGTATGTTCTAATGGCGTTTGTCATAGATCATTTGACTGTGAGTATGTGGGTTGTCTGTTCTGTTCCATTGGTCTGAGTATCTGTTTTTATGCCAGTACTATGTTGTTTTGGTTACTATAGCTTTGTTGTATAATTTGAAATCAGGTAGTGTTATGCCTCTGGCTTTATTTGTTTACTTTTGCTTAGGATTGCTTTGGCTTTTGTTGTTTCATATGAATGTTAGGATTGTTTTTTCTGTTTTTGTGAAGAATGTTATTGGCATTTTGGTGAGGATTGCATTGGATCTGTAGATTGCTTTGGGTAGTATGGACATTTTCACAATGTTAGTACTTCCAGTCCAAGAGCATGGAATGTCTTTCCATCTTTTTGTATCCCCTTTAATTTCTTTCAGAAGTGATTTGTAGTTACTGTTGTAGACATCTTTCACCTCCTTGGTTAAATTGATTCCTAGGTATTTTATTTTTTTGGTCACTATTGTAAATGGGTTTGCTTTCTTGATTTCTTTTTCTGCTAGTTTGTTATTGGAATATAAGAACACTACTGATTTTTGTGTGTTGATTTTGTATCCTGCAACATTACTGAAATTGTTTATCAGCTCTTATAATTTTTTGTAGACTCTTTAGGTTTTTCTGTACAAAGGATCATGTCATCTGCAAACAGGGATAGTTTGACTTCATCTTTTCTGATCTGGATGCCCTTTATTTCTTTCTCTTGCCTGATTGCTCTGACTAATGCCACATTAAATAGGAGCAGTGAGAGTGTTAGCATCCTTGTATGTTCCTGTTCTTAAAAACTTTAAGCTTTCAGCTTTTTCCCATTCAGGATGATATTGGTGGTAGGTTTGTCATATATGGCTTTTATTGTGTTGAGATAGTTTCCTTCTATACCTAATTTGCTGAGAGTCTTCATCATGAAGGATGTTGAATTTCATCAAATACTTTTTCTGCATCTATTGAGATAATCATATGGTTTTTGTCCTGGATTTTGTTTATGTGGTGTGTCACATTTATGGACTTGCATATATTGAACCATCCTTGCATCCCTGGGATAAATTGCACTTGATTGTGTTTGTCTTTGAGTTTTGCCAGTTTGATTATAATGTGTCTCAATTTTGGATTGAATCTCTTTGGGCATCTCTGAGCTTCATGGATCTGAAGGCCCATATCTCTCCCAATACCTGGTAAGATTTCCATTATTATCTTGTTGAATATATTTTCAATGCCTTTTTCTTTCTCCTCCCCTTCTGAAACACCCATGATTTGGATGTTTTTGTGCTTAAATTTATCTGCTAACTCTCTTAGATTTTCTTCATTTAAAAGAAAAAAATTTTTTTTTTGTTTAGTCTGTCTGGGTTATTTTGAAAAGACTACCTTTATGATTAGAATTTCTTTCTTCTGCTTGCTCTAACCTGCTGCTTAAGCTCTTGGTTCTATTTTTTATTTCGTTGAACAAATCCTTTAGTTCTAGGGGCTCTGCTATGTTCTTTTTTTAAGGTATTAATCTCTTAATCTCTTTGTATTCTATTCCTCCTTCATATTCTAGATACTTTTTCTCATTTTGTTGAGTTGTCCAGCTAAATATTCTCATATCTCATTGAGTTTCCTTAAGATCGTTGCTCAGAATTGCTTTTCAGTCATTCCTAGGGTTTCCTGCTCTATGGGGTCTGGTACTTGAGAATTATTATATTTCTTTGGTGGTGTCATATTTTCTTGTCTTTTCATATTTTTACTGTATCTGTGTTGATGTCTGGTCATCTGTTAGAGCAGTTGCTTCTTCTTTTACTCTGGAGTTGACTTTAAGGAGAGAGACTTCCTCCTATAGATGTGTTTTATATTCACCATTTGGTAGGGTGGTTTAGTATTGGTTCTGGGTGCATGCAGTAGCGTAGTCTCCTTTGGGTACTTTGGCTATATTCAGTGTTGAAGTTGCATGTGAGTACCTCTGTGGCCTAGGCACTGGGGCACTTAGTGATCCCTTGCTGAGGTTAGTGACACTGTATTGGTTTGTTAAGGATGTGGGCAAGCTCTCGAGTTCTTGGGAGAAGTGTCTGGATGCCCTGTCACTCTTTGGCTGAGATGAGTGTCCCTGGGTGGGCTGTTGGCAGCCTGGTTTGTGGATCCTATGACCCTGATGAGTGCACTGGGATATGGTACAGCTCCTCATTTAAATGGGTGATCCTGAACGGGTTTTCTCTTTCTTGTTTTCTACAAGTAGAGGCTCCTCCTGGGTCCTTGTTTCCCCTAGCTGGGGGATGGGTTGGTGGTGATTGGGAATTTTCTTTCTTACTCTATTTGGGTATCCAGGGTTTCTGCCGTCTCAGGGGTTTCTGTGTGTGTCTCTGCCCAGATCAAGGCAGTTGCGTGTGCTGCACATGTATCTCCCTCCCCCAGTTGTGCTGACCTGTGTGGCAGCATAATTCCCATTGTGAATTGGGCCACTGGGTTGTGGGTCTGTACTCGCTCACTTCTTTCCCTGGGCTCTGCTGGTGACTATCATTGTCTCAATGCAGTCGAGTGGTCAGCAGGCCTCCTTCATGATGGCCATGGCTGCTCCTTTGGCAGCAAGGCACCCTTTGCTGTCTGTCACTAGAATTTTGGAATCAACATTAAATACACTTCTATTTTACTTAGTAAAAGTAGCAGTATTAAATGTTGCAGAAATAATAGTCATAAAGAGGTTTTAGATTTTAAGGTATCCTTAATTTTTTTTTATTACTTTTTATTTCTTTTTTCTTTTTTAGGACAGGAAGATAATAAAATGGAATTCTCAGATATGACTTCAGTAACAAACCACCTTCCTCAGTTGAAGCTGTGTTCCTCAGAGAAATTGGAGCCTGATAAACCAGATGATTCTTCTAGTTGTACTGATATTCTAGAAGCTCTTTCTTCACCAGAATCAGATTCATGCAATAGGTAGGAAATGTGTAGTAGATGTTTATTTTGAATTTCTATTTTCTATGCATGTGTAGATACATAGGCAGAAATAATTAGTAAATAGCTTTGAGGAATAGTGCATTCTGTCATTCTTCTTACATTTTAGTCTCTATTTACTGCTGTGTAGTCCTCACAGTGACAGCAAGGCAGGATGTGGGAGGGGAGTGCAGCACCCAGACTGTTTTCTACTCTATAGCCTTTTTTTTTTTTCCTTTTTGTCTTTTTTACTGACCGGTAACGGGATCGCAACCCTCGGTCTCGCACCCATACCGGGGACCGGCAATGGGATCGCAACCCTCGGTGTTGCGCCCGCACCGCGCTCAGCCAGTGAGCGGGAACCGGTCTCCACATGGGATCCGAACCCTTGGCGGGAGCGCCACCGCGCTCCCAAGCAGCGCACTCTCCAGTGCGCCACCTGGCCGGCCCCTCTATAGCCTTTTTATAGTTATTTTTCCTGGAGTTGGAAAAGAAAGCATGATAGGCAGTGAAATTCTTATCAAGACAATGCGTGAAGCAGATAAAGACAACAATATTGGAAAATAGAGATGATCGGAAAGACAGTGCATAGGAGAGTGAAACAGAAAAGAAAAATTTAACAGAGTGAACAAAATGGATGGGGAAGCTTTAAAAATTAGAGATTTGGCAGTGAGTCATTTTTTTATTTTTGTCTTTTTTCGTGACCGGCAACGGATCGCAACCCTCAGTGTCGCGCCCGTACCGGACCGGGACTGGCAACGAGATAGCAACCCTCGGTGTTGCGCCCGCACCTCGCTCAGCCAGTGAGCGGCCGGTCTGTATGTGGGATCCGAACCCTCGGCGGGAGCGCCGCTGCGCTCCCAAGCGGCGCACTGTAGCAGTGCACCACCGGGCCGGCCCCAGTGAGTCATTTTGAAAAGATTTTTAAATTTTTACTTACTTATTTTTTGGGTGGCTGGCACAGGGATTGAACCCTGGACCTTGGTGTTATCAGCACCATGCCCTAGCCAACTGAACAAAGTGGCCCCTCTGAAAAGATATTTTTAGAAGATGATGTATTTTTAAAAGTCTCTAGAGTGATAGAGAATATCTAATCTGAAGCATCAAATTAAGAAGAATTTTTTTTTTCCTTTTTGTCTTTTTTTTCGTGACCAGTAACGGGATCACAACCCTCGGTGTCACGCCCACACCGCACTCAACCAGTGAGCGGACCGGTCTCTATATGGGATCTGAACCCTCGGCGGGAGCGCTGCTGCGCTCGCGCGCTCCCAAGCGCCGTGCCGGCCCGAGAAGAATTTTTAATAAGAGAATTATACTTGAAGACCTTCTGAAAACAGTTTC